TATATTAACATGCAGCATATCCATACTAATGTTATAAAAGATTTTATTGTTAGTTGGTATGATGCAAACACCGGAAAGACCCGAAACTACTTGGACCAATGTGGAAAATTCTTTCACCTACGAGAAGCTACATCATCATATGCGGGTGATATAGACTTAATTTACGCGAACAAAGTCGCAAGAAAACAACTAGTAGTCATAAAAAACATAATGAAACGAATAAACATAATCTAAACTTATAAATAGTAAGGATTCACTACGTTTATTTGTTCTTACGTGTGTGTCAAGGACTTAATTTTAAGCGGGCAAGAAAACAGTAATCATTAAGAAAAATCTTATTAGTCTGATCTCAACAAGCTAAGTTATAACTAAAATACCAGCAGCGTTTGGAAAAATTGGAAACAATTAAACATTTCTATCTACATTTTATTTTTATGAAATTATGATGGGTTAATTTACACTATGGATGTTGTTTACTGCGCCGGACAGAAGTTATAAATTGTTTAACGTTTTGTATTGTAAACATAAATGTCTTATCATTCGGAAAGTAATCGATGAGTTTGTGGTTATCATTAATAATAATCGTTGTAACGTATATTTCTTTTTAATCATCAACATTACTTATTTAGGCACTACTAGCTTTCCGCCAGCAGCTTCGCCCACGTGGTCTTGTATTATACATAAAAACCTTCCTTTTGAATCACCCTATCTATGAAAAAAAACGCATCAACATCCGTTGCGTAGTTTTAAAGACTTAACCATACATAAGGATATAGGGGAGAGATAGCGACTTTGTTTTATATACTATGTAGTGATAAATGTATTGTTTTGCATATATCACGGTTCTGGTCCTCAGTCGTACACTCCAGGCAGATTGGTCGTGGTTAAGGATACTCTGATTCGTTTGAAGCGGCTTTTGAGTCTTCTCCATCGATCTCTACTTGTAGCACTGCATGTACACTCAATAAGGGTACAATTCATTGATGTTTTAATTAGATCTGTTCATCTTGTCGGTGATTAACCGCGAGAACGCTGGCCCTCCACTCTTCCTTGTATCGCAAAACGTTCTATTGAGCTCTCGTTACGCGTAATATGTCCAACATTTTAAGAATTCGAATTTGCGCAATCGATAAAAGTCTTTGTTTGATATGTAGGTCCTGCAGAATGAAGACATTAGTGTGGTGAGCTGTCCATTTTATTTTCAACATACACCTCCGACACCCCATCTCAAGAGCGTCAATTTTTTTTGCAATCGTCCATGTTTCGGCTTAAGTAAATATAAAATAATTTAGCTATTCCCGCGACTTCGCCCACGTAAATTAGCTTCCCGTAAGAAATAACTTCATAATTATTTATTGTATTAACTGTGTAGAACAATATGATGTTGTACAACATAGAGGTTTTATTATAACTTATTAAATGTTACAGGTTTAACACCTGTAATATGTCAATGTACCAAAATATTCAAACGCAAACCTTATCAATAACACATTGGTAAAAAAGAAACAAAGCAACTAGATAAAAATATATCAATTAAGACAAACAGAACTGCCAACACGAAGTGTGGTTCTGCAGATTTAGAGCATTCATCATCGTAAAGTTAATTACACAATTATGTCACGTTTGGTTATTATTAATGTGTTAATTTAGTAAATTTGTAACAGACCGACACGGAGGCGCACCTGTTATTATGCCCAGGAGTCACGGCATCTGCATTATCATCGAGGGTGATAGATGGTATTGTCATTAATATAATAGCTGCCGAGAACGAAAGGTTATTTATTCCCTTTTAATTTCATAATGTATTTCAATTGCTTTTATAGTGGAAAGAAAAACTCGATATATAAAAGGAGTGGTAGAGAACACTGCTAAACCATTTGCAAAGTTGAACTTATTTACGAGTATATTAACGTATCAATTGCAATGAGACATTTTTTCTTCGATAATCTTCTAAACATTTGTTTTGGTCTACGAATTTGCTGTCAACAATGTGTTGGGTTTAAAAAGGCGGGTGATATACTGCCTAAAAATTTCGGTATACCGTCATTACAATTGAGCCCAGGATCCATTTTCTTCGGGTACTCATTCCCATGAGAGAGAATTCATATGTGCGCGGTAAGAGGCCTCGACTGTTAGCGTTCATCGGCCGCCACAGAGAAAGACATAGGTAGATTTTAGCTCCTACATTTTCACTAGCCTTAATGCCTCTCGCTAGTACTTGTGAGATCACAGTGTAATAATATATTACGTTATTCTAATGCACTAAAGACCCGTACAATTTAATAGTTTTTCCAATTCTTTATAGAACTTATATTTAAGATGAAATAACTTTTAATACATATTTAAATAACAATACCAATTGAATGCAATTTTGGGCTATTATGTAAACAGTGTTTTACAAATATAATACAGGTACTACATCAATCATGTTTTAAAATAAGTTGAAGTAAGTACAATGACAGCGATGTGAGTGTCGTGCGATAACATGAACCTACATTTCAAAAATTATGATTCACCTCACAATTTTTAAACTACTGTTCGTCCCAAAACAATAAACATGGAAGGAACATTATAGCTTCATATCATGAAATATTATCCATAATGGTCTTTCGTCTTTCATAACAACATAGAGTATGTTATTCTCTTGCAACTAAATGGATGTTTCAAATACCAAATCCAATTACATATGAATTATTTAGTTTACTCTAATCAATTATATTTCTCTTTAAGAGATTAGAGTAATCAGCCAGTCAAAAAAGGTTGTTACTCCCATCATGACATCCAACTGAGATTATCAATTTTTTAAAGTATAGACTGTAACATACTCTGTAATAATTCATTAAAAAGTAATTATAGCCAAGGACTAACCACATTATCAAATTTCCGAATCATACATACTATCAGGGATGTGAGGGGACTCTGTAATTGTAATAGACATACAGTGAAACTACCACAGATTTTGACCCGTCAGATCCGGTCGATGCGTTCCTGATAAGCATAGGCGCCACCTTAAAAACGTTCTATCTTTACCACTTCAATCTGGCTAAAAGCAAGATATTCGCTGTTGTGCAAGAATATGATCTGCAGCAGATAGTTAAAAAATCTAATGACGTGAAAATGTCCACCGCGGAATGTATTTATATGGAATAACAAGACTGCCTTTAAAAGTTATTATTGAGTTTGTAATTTGTATTAAAATATTTTAATTATATGTTAAGTATTGTGTTTTGTATTTTTAATACTTGTTGTATGCCTAGGTAGGTACACCTAATTAACTAAATTAATTACCTATTTAGCAGAATACGTGTTTCACCATTTCACCGTTTTATTATTAAGTTATAGTATTGGTACTGACAAAATAATATTTAATAATCAATTATTAATCATTGTGCAAAGTATTTTTGCAGTTTTTTGCACATTTCAAATCGCCGTACCTGTTAGTTGTTTGGGTTAACGGTGTGCCTAGCTACCTAGGTGAATTGACATGAGAAGCAAATTTGCTTTTTTTACTTAATAAGTTTTTACTCAACAAAAATTTTTTTGTTTCAACTTAAATTAACTAGAACCTGTAGATAAAGTAAAATGGACAATCTTAACTATAGAAATGGAATTAATAAAAAAATAAAATTAAGAAAGAAGAAATATGTTAATGTATATCCAAAATAAAAATTATCTGTATACATAAGTAAAATATTTTTTTCGGTTAATAAAGGCTGAATCTTCAAGACAAATAATGGTTTTCTTTCTACCAAGTCAAGCTGATACACCAGCCAAGATTATAGATGACTGTTGAGTTCTCAAGAAGAATACCACAGTTACTGAGTACAAAAAGAAAGCTGACACATAAAATTTAACGAAAATATTTTTTTTGTATTGTGCCAATATGCACTGTTAAAGGCAAAGCAACAATGAAACAAATAATATGTATATGTTACTGACAATCAAACGTTTAAAATATCATTAAAACAAGAATAGAAATATAAGATACATTTTTAATCAGTGCACAAAACATTTCCTATGGTAAGTCCGTTAATATTTGTGTTTAAATATTAATATTATATTAGACAAACGCACAGAAAGCAACACCACACCCATTTAAAAATCATTTCCTACTTTTACTGCTATACCAATAAAGGCAAAATATGTATAGGATGATTCACAACAAAGCATTAAGAATTAATTTGAAAGTAGAACATGAATACGGCACTAGTGTCAGTGTAATCAGCACAAATCATGTGGGTTTTAATTGATCTCTTGGCCAGGTCACAATTGTCTGACCAACTGATTGACTTAACTACACTAACTGTAGAGATTCAATGAATCACTCTCATCTAACAATTTTAACCTATTTTGATTATGAGATAATTATTTTTAAAGTTATGGGCAATGGGTGTCTGACTATTTAGTATATTTTGAAAAATGGGCCTCTTTTCTAAGATTGTTTTGTAAATTTTTAAATAATTTATTAAAAAGAGACAGCTTTTTATTAGCTTTATACCAGTAATATAAAAAAATATATCAACTCCATTGTCAACAGGAAACAGTGGATTCAAAACTTAGATAATCAAATTAAATTAAGTTTATGGAATGATCAAATATATTTGAATTGGCTTGAATAGTTAAAAATGTTTTGTTTAAAGGTGTATTTCAAGAAACATAGCTTTTATAACACAGTCTTATTGAAAACAATTGACTATATTTTCATTGTGATATTATTACCAATAATGTATTGTATTTTTATTACCTATTCAATATATTTTCACAAGAATTTGCAGATATATCTTAAATTGTTAACTGTTATTGCTGCATGTTAAAACCTTCTAACTTATTTATTTATGAGCCAGGTAGTTTTACCCTGAAATCCCTATGACCATCCCTAGAATATAATTGATCATACATATGTATTTATGAAGGAATTAGTAATGGTAGATAGAGCTAAATCCCATAAAAAATAGCAATAAAATAGTGCTGACTAGGATCATGTAAACAATGTCACTAACCTTAGGGACTTTGGCATGGACACCAGTCCTCACATCCCGAATAGTAGCTATGTCTAACAGTTCAACCTCCATGTTCTGATCAGTCCAATAGATGAAGTAACCCTTAGGGTCCACCCGGAGTGTGACCGGGAGGCCTGAGCCACAATCCTGTTAAAAAAAAATCTGGTTTATAATATACTGCAATTTAGAAATGTTCTAAAAGACCAACTTTTATAATATACATGAAAAATGTGTATACTCGAAAGCCCTTTGCATAGTGGATATTACAAATTTCAAGTTGAATTAACAGAGGCTTATATTGAACTATATTTATCATATATTATCAATTTTGCAAGCAGACTACTATGCCTACATATAACATTCGAATTAATAAGATTTATAACCAAATAGTTTAAAAACTTCTTACTCCTAAAAATAAACAATTGCTAATCTTATTTTTTTTTTGTTTGGTAGGTAGAAGCGTATCTTTTGGATTATTAATTGAAAGATACAAGAATGTAAATTGTAGCATACCTCATCCCATTTGATGAATTTCTCTCCCTCCTGTAAAGCCTTTGGCACTTCTATAGACTTTAAGGTGATGTTAGCTGATTTTCCACCCGGACTCATTGTTAAAAACTAGAACAACTATACGGAAATAATAACACTATCGCAGATAAAATCCGTCATCTTCCTCTGTATGCACAAATCTATCAGCGAAACCTATCGGTGCTAAACTTTTAATGGAACCACACCAAACACGTTATTGAATAATAGGATGACACGAAAGTATCAACAAGTAACATATTAAATCAAACAGCATCATAAATACAACTCTCAGTTATTAGATAAACGATAAATCACCCGACATTAGTAATTCACGGTGCAGCCACCAAAAAACTGGGAAATCGGGAATGTCAAAACGTATGAACTATGAAGTGAAGTAGTGCAGGAAGTATAAAGATTAAATCGAGTCATGTTTACTATTCGATTACTAAGTGTATTGTTTCTAGCGCGCTGAACATGCTGAGTGAGCTTTAATTGTAACGATTTTTTAACAGTTTGTCTTGACAAAATAATTAATATTTGTAAAATCAGGAAATACTGACCAATTTAAAAATCAGAGAGCAACAAACCAATAAATAAGTATTTAACTACTGCTGCTGTACACTTAGGCTGTACCTAAATATATTAAATGTAATTTATTATCCCAATTAGACAATAATAATAGGCTCAAATTAATTGTCCTATTGCAGAATCGTAATTTTATAATAAAGGTGATTATATTTTAACAATAATTGCTTCTAAACTAAATTAAAGAAAATGGGTTGCTGTATTGTTCGCTTCCATTTAGAAAAAAAAATTTAAATACAGTGTGACCAGCGTATACTAAATTCTGCTATTCTAGCAGAACTACCCAAAAGCTGACATGTAAGTTTTTTCAAAAATCGAAACCATTTTCTATACAAAAAAATTCAATTAACAGCGAATATGAATAAAAGTAACACTTCCGAAATCATTAATTTTTCGAAATACTTGCTTTCTTTAAATAGTGATATCAAATTACAATTTTGTTTTTGAAGTCACTTTTTGAATTATTGTTGTTCTTTATTTTAAACTTTCTTAGTCCTTAACCTTAAAGTGGTAGTTATATAAGAGAGTACTACTATTGAGTATCTTATTTTATGGCATTTGCAAAAGCGCTAAAATTTCGAAGACTAGATAAAGATAATAGAAATAGCAGCAATCTCGTAAATAACATTGCTCTTATGATAGTTGTTAAAATTATTTTAATATTTCAATAAGTTAAATTTTGTTATAAAGCAAATGTAAAAATAAATCTGCTTGCATACCGAACTAATTGTCAGCCGTTGATTGTAAGCAAGCTTTTTGCAGTTGACTGCTTTACATACAAAATTATCTTTTAATTCACACCAAAATGACAATACGTCTATCGTAATGACAATGCAATAAAATCGGCGGAAGCCGAGCGAGAATTCTATTATATCCTTTCATAAAAAAGGAGAACACAAGTTTTTCTTGGTCGCTGTCTTCATTGCTGAAGGTCGTGTCTCTTATGAAAGTTGCCTTGATATCCCTGAAGCCTTGATGATTTGCTTCCATACTACCCTATCGTCTGATTGGCGTAGAGCGGCCGGTACGTTGAGTCCAGTCAAGGTTTTTATAAGATCAGACCACCGGGTAGGTGAACGACCTCGTCTACGTTTGCCATCATTTTTCCCTACAATGACCGATTTCACAAGAACAAAAGTTACTATACGATAAAACTGTCGCACAGTAGTGAATTATTGGATCAAGAGATATTTGGACAGAGTAGTCACACCTTTCAAAAATTATATCGTGATTTTTTTAAATACTTTACATAATATGATTTTTAAGATTGAATGTAATCGAATTACTACAATATAATTATATTAAATAGGGAATGAAAAAACGGTTATATGCAAGCAAAACTTAAAACAGAGTAATATTTTGAAGTCAATACCCAAAGGCTAAAATAGAGTCCCGTTTTTACCCTTTGGTTAAGAAACCCTAAAAGTAAATACACTACTCTATTGTAGACTCTGCTGTCTGTTTATCTCTAGCCAGGATGTATTTCATGAATTGTTATAAATTACTATACAGTTGAAATGTTTACAAATGACGTATTTCTGTTGCCACTATTAAAACAAATACTAATAATAGATTAAAACAAATAGTTCAGAGAGTCCATACAAGAAACATGTACTTTACAAGGTTTTTTTAGTGTTAGTAGTTAGTGCGCAAATCTTAGAACTGAAGTTTGACTCACTTCCCGTTGTTCAATTTATTTAAAATTTTTCATAGCCATGTAAGTCAGAAGATAATGGAATGTTATGGTGTCAGTAGATTGATATGTGAAGTCGGAAGGTGATAAAATGATGCTATGGCATCGTCTTTGGGCTCATTAGATCCGTATTTATAAGAACCATAACATATAGCGGAAGCCATAAAATGACCGACACAGCCGAAAGTTTCAAGTTTGATTACATGCAAACGTTCATTAATTTGATAAATATTTCAAAATAAAGAAGGTGTAAAAATGGAGTTAAAATTTTAAATAACAGAATGTTGACAGCCCTATAACGCGCATGCACAATGTTGATTGTGTGCAGATTACCTCGGACCGCGAAATATATTAATTTAATTTAATTATATTCCGATACCTTAATGATAGTCGATGCTGAAAATGTCCACTTCCTCTCTGAAGACTGAGCTAAGCACTCTTTTGCATGCCAAAAACAAAAGACGTCACATTTGACACGAAACTAAACACAATCTTCACAAAACTAAACTTAAACACTCAAGACGAACTAAACTTAAACACTCAAAAAATACATTATTATTATTATCTTATTAACAAAGATTCGATTGGAAATGCACTAAATAAAAAAAAAATCGCCAAAAAAATTCGCTTCCCAGCGGTGAGTCGGCGGTGATGCGACAACGAAAAAGCTCATTTTTAATTTAAAAACTTTTAAACTTTTTAGATATTATTTAATTTTATGATCAAATGGTTTTTTTTGATCAAATTTTATGATCAAATTATGTTTTTTGTATTCCTAATTTTTATTAGGAATACAAAAAACATAATTTTAATATTAATGTACTAATATTAAACAGAATATTAGTGAAAGAAAATTTATTATTTTGAGATATTGCTGAATTTAAAAGACAAGTAATAAATCCAAAAAAACTGTTAGTAAATTTTTAATTTCAATTCTGGTCACATTGGTCAAACGTCAACGTCAGTTGTTTGTTTGACGATATTTGCCGTTTGGCCTGTGCCTATCGGCAAAAATAATTTGTGATCGGCGACTTTTGATTTTGAATGCGTACGGTTGGAATTGGCTAATTTAGTTTGTTTATTTCATTTCTTTTCGATTACATCACGCCAAAACACTGTTATTTCTATAATAGATTCGGCCTCTAAACAATGTCCGAATTAGAATCCACCGGTGGAGAGAAAAATGATAACAGGCTCAGGAAGCGAATTCGCCACCGCAAGAAAAACTTATACGAAAAGATTCTCAAACAAATGGAGTTTTATTTTAGTGATGCCAATCTGTCTAAGGACCGATTTTTAGGAGAACTTATAAAAAACGATCCTTATGTCCCAATCGAGACTTTTCTAAAATTCAATCAAATTCGTGCAATGACAAGTGATGTTTTTATTATAGCAAAAGCAATGAAGAATTCCACCATGCTGGAGTTGTCCGAAGACAAACTTAAGGTTTGTATGGAGTAAAAAACTAAAGTATTTTCTGACAATTTAATACGTATTAAAATGATTATTTTCTTCCATTTCTGAAATTTAGATATGTCTTATAATGTTTCAGATCAAGAGAAAATCTCCAGTATTGCCTTATGATGCTGATGTTAGAACTGTTTATGTTGAATCTATTCCAGTAACTGCCAGCAGAGAATGGCTAGAAAAAGTGTTTTCAGAATTCGGAAGAGTTGCTTATATCTCTTTGCCTAAATTTAAAATTTCCAAAATAATTAAGGTATAATAAGTTGTTATAAAACTTTCATGGTCATTAACATTAGAATTATTTTAATAATGAGATTGCATGAAAATATCATATTTATATAGATATGGTACATGGTAGCAATCCTATTATTAAAAATTATTCTTGAATTAAGGTTTCACATATTCAGTGAAACACACTATAATCAAATATGCTGTTCTGTAAATGATTTATTTTTCAGGGTTATGCTTTTATAGAGTTCAGCCAGCCTGACGAAGCGCAGAAATGCATTGCCACTTTTACAAAAATGGGTTGCAAACTGCCAACGTGTATGCAGCCTGAAAACCTATCTTCAATAAAAATGTTTTCTGCTGAAGATACTGTTAATGATAATGCTCCAAAAAAAGAGGAAACCGAAGATCTTGAGCCACCAAAGAAAAAAACTAAAAAACACAAAGAAAAAAAGACATCGAAAAGTCTAGAATTGAAGTTAGAAAGTGAATCTGACTGTGAGAAGAAAATTGATACACCTACAGTAAGAACACATGTTTCACACTGAAACCTGTCATGATTTGAAATTGTTATTGATTTAATTTGTTCAAATGCAGTACAATGCGGCAGATAATCTATTACATGTTAGTTTAAATGTTATTTAATTAGTCCTGGAACAGATCTAATATAGATAATTATCTATTAACTACTGCTTGATGATGTAATATCAAAAAATTCAATTTTTACTACATTCATTTTGAGGGAGAACTTTTCTGGCATTACACCATTAAATTTATCCTGTCTTTTATGTTATTGTCACAAATCTTTGCTTATTTTATACATTCTTTACAATTTACATGAGAATATGTTAGCATACACTTACATACTTAAAATGAAAAATATATTTTCCAGGAAGAAAATAAGGAAATAGTGTCAACACCCACAGAAGTAAGAAATTTTATTTATTTTATATATTTATGGTTATTTTACAACTTGGGATATTTCCTTCACATTCTAACAGATCTTTTGTCAGATTTACACCTACCCTTACTTATTATGCTGGAATCAAATAGTAATACTAAAGACAATAGTGAGTAACTAATTACACAAAAACAATTACTAAAACTTTAATTGATTTTAATATGATTTGTAAGTCTTATCATTTGAAGGTGTATCATGTAACTATATTCTAGTTGGTTATTGAAATTATAAATCTGTACTATGGTTTTTAGATATTTGTATTCTGTTTCAGGAAAATAAAATGTTTGCTGATTCAAAAGATGAAATGACAACTCAGGATGAAGATCAGTCCGATGAAGACACCAAAAAGAAAAGAAAGCTGAGAAAAAAGTTGGCCAAAGACAAAGCAAAGGCTAAGAATGGTCTGAACAAAAATGAAGCACCACCTGGAGCATTATGGGGCCTCCAAGTGTTGCCTAAATCTGAATGGAAGGCCCTCAGGAATAAATATTTGAATTTGCAGAGAAAGTATATGAAAGAAATCAAAACAGCATTACACAATAAGAGGCATGCCTATTCAAGTATACCTGCACCAGCAGCGCCATCTGTAGAAGTTGAACCCGGTAATTGATTCCTTTATTTTCATCTCCACTGCTCAGGGTTTAGAGTGATAATTATTGCGACAATTATACACTTCACAAAGATTTTTGTAATTAAGGATTTAACAAGTCCTTAAAGGGGAATCATCTTAAAACAGCTGTCAAATGTGGTTTTTCTGATAGAGAAAATTGTCTAGGATCCTGCAAAAAGAAAAAACAAATATAAATATCTTCTAAATAAAAAGAGGAAGCCCCCTTATATTCACTTTTTGTTTAATATGATTTAACAGTTACTTTTTTATTTATTTGTATAATTTTTATAGTTTAAAACGATAAAAATAAAGGTTGACTGATATATGAATTCTTTTCTGCATTAAAAAAAATATTGTATGTATGGAAAAAAAAAACTTGATAATAACGAAACCTGCCACTGCTTGTAAAATAAAATGACTGTTAAACCATTATATCACATATTTATTTATTTTAATTTACAGTTTTCAGATAATTTACAGTTTCTTTCTTCATTTACTAATCTAGTGAACAAGCAATTTGTGAAAGGTTTTAAACATAATAAAACAATATTTTTTCAAAGATACACACAATGAAACCGTTTCTAAGTCTTCCATGTAGTCATATTTAAATGTTTAAACCATTAGATTAACATTTTCGTTACAATGGGCTTTTAGTAATGAAACTTCATTTAATTCCAGGCATAAATCCAACACAAACAGAAGGCAATAAAATCCCTTTAGAAAAGATACCAGGAGTGTTTGTGAAGGAAATTTTGCCTGAGCCCTGCTTGGACGTAAGGCAAGCAAAAAGAACAGTAAGTATGTAAAATTAAATAATTATTAGCAGTACTTATTTTCTGCAAAATATTCTGAACAAAGTGTTTTGTTTTGTAGGTTAAAACTAATATTCATGTTCAACATGTGGATGTTAAAGAAGGCCAATCAGAATTAATAATCAGATTTGATTCTGCTAAAGCTGCAGAAGAGGTAAGCTTGATTCGTATTATAATGCCAGTAATTTTAATTTAGATGAGTAGGTGGCGTTGTAGATGTGCGTCGCGACCCGCCGTCGTTGTTGTCGTCTTTAAGCAACTTTCGGAAGGGTCGGTAACGGGATGGGTGACCGAAAAAAAAATTCCAGCTACTCCGTCCTTTGGAAGGCAAGGACGGTTCGATCTGTGAATATATGCTTTGACAAGACGACTTATCTTTATAATAAAGTAGTTATAAGGTTAACCATAGCAAGTTGTAGTATCAAATGGGATGGAAAAAAAAACAGATCATCTGTTAATATCTAATTGCAAGAAACGTAAATTTTATTTGTATTTTTATCTCGCGAAGTTCACGTTAGAATACTTATTTCATTCTGACAAAGACACATGTAACACTAGTATTTCTACTAACTAGTATTTCTCTCTAGGTATGATCGATATCGATATTTCCTTACGTAAACATTGATTGGTATTGATACTATTAAAAGAAAAAAATGTACTTAGTGCACAAATTACTACACAAAAATACTCCGACGTTAATAAATAATATTTGTCATGTACCTAAAGCACCTACGTTAAATAGTTTAAAAATTTCAGAACATATGTAGTTTTAGATTTCATTAAAAATTTTCATCCTATTTTAATACTAGATATCCAAACTTTTGCATTTTTAGTCTTAAGTTAATCCCTTTTTGAAGATTCAACTTAATATTTTTATATAAGCGCGGTGGTACCACAATAATTTTTATAAGTATAGGTTTTGTCTCAGTGCATTTTATCATAGTTTTAAATTGGAAAGTGTAGCAGGTAAACAAGTGCTACAAGAAATGCAAAAATGGTAACCTATTTTTTGAGGAACTTATTTTTTTGTCTATCGGGGTTATAAGCCCTTTTTGGTCGGGATTGTATGTCTAAAATGTGATGCTGTTCTCCCATTTTTAATTACAACTTATTTTAAACTTATTTCATTGTACAAAATCAATTTTTTGAAAGTTATTCCCACCGACTGATTAAAAGTTAGTGATTTTAGGCGTATGCGTTCACTGAAACCTTGCTTTTGGATGCCTTGTCCATTAATTAGTTTATAAGTTCTATAAATTGTGAATTAAATAAAAAAAAACTGTTTAATATATTTTTAATGATATCCAATATTAATAATAATAATATTTATTTGCGAAAATATGGTTACAAGGTAGTTTTACAATATACAACATTTAATATCGATCAATTATCGACATGCCTTTACATTATGGTTCCCATCACTACGGATTACGGTCTTTTCTACTAGCCAATAACCTAGCCCTCGTTAGTTACCTCGCCCGCCACCTACCCCACCGCTAAGATTGGTATCGTTATTTTTTAACAAAATTGAAATCATCACTCGGTATCTATCGGAGGATATACATACACTAGTGGCCGCCAGCGACTTCGTCCGCGTTTTCCATTATTTCTTTGCTCCTAATAGTTGCAGCGTGATGTTATATAGCCTAAAGCCTTCCTCAATAAATGATCTATTCAACACAAAAATAATTTTTCAATTCGTACCAGTAGTTCCTGAGATTAGCGCGTTCAAACAAACAAACTCTTCAGCTTTATAGTATTAGTATAGATTTAAACAACAAATCTTACATGGTCAGGCCTGTGCTCAGCAGTGGGCAATCATGATGAAATATTAATAATAATATTTCTTTTCGAAACAACTTTCATATTAAATCGAACGGCATAACCTATCACAAAATATCAACTGTTTCAGTTTCAGTCTTGGTAGTTGTGTTTACACAGATATTAAGTTGATAGTTGCATATATGAGACACTGATAGTTAACCAATAGTTGATAGTTACATATATTGAAACACGACCCGCCATTGTGTGACGTCATTGTGCTGACAGCTGTCAGATTAGTCGTAAAGAAGTGTCTATCAATTATAAATCATGTTCCTAGATGGCGCTGTTCTTAACTTATTAATATCTTTTTATTTCGTCATCGATCGTTTAATGGTATTGTTCTTGTATTATTGACATCTTTTAATCTTCTACTCCATGCATCTGTTTTGTGTACATATCAGAATATCGTTATGAATATGACTGACAGCGTTTATCGATCTGTGAATATAAAAAAGTTTAAATTTTGATTTGATTTTTCCGAAACATTTGTTTTATGGCGTTCTGTAAATTAAAATAAACAGTTCAAGCATTATTTCAAACACTACAATACCCTATCCGAGAACCGGCCGTATTGATTGTACGTTAACAACGGTCCATCGTGTTGTAGTATTGCGCGAGCGCAGGTGCCCGCGCGCACGTGATGCACGGCGACGACGAGGAGCACCAGTGGTCGCGCGCTGAGGCCGCGCGCTCCGTGCGCAGACCGCGCGGCCGCGACCGTCTACTGGCGCGCACGGCGGCCGCGCGCGACCCCCTTCCGCCCGCGCCCGCCCCGCCGCAGCCTACGCACACGCATATACGCTTCGACGACGAATAACCGATCAGATCGGCCTAAGTGCGACAGACCAGCAGGCCAATTATGCTAATGTTTCGCGTCTCAATAGAATTACAACTACTCACATTTTGCCAATGTACCTTAAGTCCATTTAGTGATATATTTTCGTCATAAATCGAATGTGACAGATATATTAATATTGGACTTTAGGTAGCTAGTACAATTGCAAAATGGAAGATAAAATATTTTATTGAGATGTGAATATTAGCAGAGTTGCCCTACTGTGAGAATTAAACATAGATACACTAAATGGAAAGCGTTTAGAAAATGTTACTGAAGTTAATAAAAGTTTTTTTAAGAATTACATGGTTTGATTCCGCCTATTCCCAAATTCATACGTCACTATTTAACTAACGCATCTTATCGGTCGCAAAACTGAAAATTATTGGTTTAATATTCTTAACACCCACCTGATTGCACAAACGTCCATAAGGTAGTTTTTATTCAAGGACTGGGTTGACATGATAAGTAAAGGTAGCCTAAGATGGTATATGCGTACCCAGGAAGTGTCCACTGTGGCTATGAAGAGTGTCAGGTTATACTGATTGGAGAATATATGACCAGATAACGCATTCCATTCCAAATGACGCTTCTAAGCTGTAAATAATAAGAAGTGTATGGAATTGACATTCAACCGTGTACATTTGACGGAACTTCCGTCCCGCGGGGAAAATCAGATATGGCACATCTGCTTAATAATCTTTGTCGTTTTCAGTGCGACGTAATCTGTGACATTTGTAATATAAGCAATAATACATTTTTTAATCTTCATTCAACATTAAAATAGTCTGAAAGTAAACTCATACTTGTGAATACGTTTATTCATTTTACCGATCCGTCGTATAAATAGAGTTAGATAGTCAACGTACCAATAAGTTAAATATCACCCTATATACCAATTAATTAATACCCATTAAATATGACGTCAGATTCGCATCGACCTAACACATAAAAAATAAAAAAGTTTTTTTAAACACTTAAAACGTTTTTATTTGTGCGCACAGGGACTAGAACATAAATAAACCAATTCTAAACATTATGTACTAACTTAATAATCAAAAATTTCTCCAACAGTAATCGACTTGAAAAGCTTGAAGGGTTAATGAAATCTGAGACGAGGAAATACGCATATTTTTACGCGGTTCAAGCTTTTTACTCGCATCGCAATTGAGGAAGAATTAAAAAAAAAATTGTTCTCGAAATCAAACTAGATATCGCTACAGTACTTTCTTGATTTATCCATGACAACTCTTCCGGTTTCCGTTCATGTATAAAAGTAAACTAATTTTCAAAACTCAAACGACACGTATTCAATTTGTACTTTTATAAGAAAAATTTTGATTATAAGTACTTTAAATGTTTTAGTGCGCACGAAAAGCTTGTTTTAAATACTTATTATTACTTTTTAGTTTTATCTCATTGATGCTGTTCTCATAAAGACGGATCTAATGATCCCAAATACGATGCAGTTTCGTTATTTTATTGCGAAGTTCCTATGACCACCTTCCAGCTACATCATCAACCAGACCATGGTCTAGAAAGCATCTAGTACTAAAGTCCTCATAAAGACGAATCTGACGAGCCCAAACACGCCGCAGTTGCGTTATTTTATTGCTAAGTTCCTATGACCAACTTCCAACCCCATCATCACCAGACCTTGGTCTAGAAAAAGCCCAGTACCAAAGTCCTTATATACCGGATCTAACACGCCCAAACACGACGCAGTCGCGCTATTTGATTGCTAAGTTCCTATGACCACTGTCCAGCTCCATCATCACCAGACCTTGATCTCGAAAATATCCAATACCAAAGTCCTTATAAAGACGGATCTAATGAGCCCAACGATACAGTAGAGTCATTTCATCATTAAGTTCCTTTGACCATCTTCCGACTTCATCATATTAGCTTAATGACGCTATGGTATTGCATTGCCGTCCGACTTATATGTTTATGCAAAATTTAAAGTCTATCGGTCATTGGGAACATTCATTCATTCATTCAGTGGGTCAAATTTGAGTTCCAAGATTTGAGCACTAACAAACATGCTAACATACAAACAAGGCAAGTTAAATAAAAGCTTGTAATAATAAAAGTTGCTACAAAAGTCCTCTGCAAACAATTTTGTATTAAAGGTTGATAATTTCTAGTAAAGTCGGGAGTACGCTATTAGTGTACAATCTTAGCTTACCTTCTTTGCAGAGAATTGACGGGCTGAAATTGGTCAGATCTCCGAAACTCCGTAACTTGGCTATTTGTCTCAATTTCGTAAATTAATTAGGGACTAGGGTTAAGACTTCATCGCAAGTTCTAAGAGGTAGCGCTGCTAGACTGACAAACACTTCATTGGGAATAAGATTAAAAAACAAATTGAATAGAAAAGAAAATGTATTACACCAAGTAAATGCAACACCGTATTCAGTCTTAGATATTAATATTACAATTATCATACAACAGGCACATGTTTCTTAAAAAATAATAGTAAGTAACAATTTAACTTATCAGATTGACCATTACATTAATGAAGTTTAATTTACTAAGTACACCTATTTAACAACCATTTTTGCATCCTTAAAAATAATTCTGATAATATTCCACTGATTTTATGAGTCATTGAGTGAATAATAAACGCAACACTAACGCAATGAAATATTTTTCAAACAATAGGTTCCTTACAATGACACAGTATCTCAATTTCAAAGATGTTCAATAAATACAACTTCTATCTTACCCTGTTTTATTAAGACCTCTTCTTCTTTGACACTCATTACGTTAGTTATAAATTTCGTTGCACATTAATCCTTAAAATCTTTAGCTATTAATGAACAATTAAAAAAATATTATTAAGCAAGAAATAAGCCTATAGAGGACTCCAACGAGTTCAACGATTATTTAGTTATTTATAACGAAAACAAAACTACATACAGTAGGCACCTTGTACATATGTGTACATACTGCTGCAAGTGGGGTTATTATAATATGTTTAATTTCCTTAAGCGATTTTGAACACAAACCACAATACTTAAGATTTAATAAATTCAAATAGAGAAAGACAGTTTTGTACCACCTGACATGCTGTTGACTGTACAATTTAAATATGAATTAACACTAATAAATTATTACATTAACTTGGTTATTTCGTATGAAAACATTTCAATATTCATTCAGTGGTGTTTTTAGTGTAGGTTTTGCTCGTGACATTCCTAAATTTAAAACTAAGCACCATATAATAAGTAATAAATTACACATACGCAGTATGCAATAAAATAAGACAGTAGTTCCTTAACTATCTAAGTACAATAATTGTTAAATTGTCACTGATTAAATTCATTAGATTGAAAATGTTAGCAACAAAAATTAAGATTTATCACGTCATTAAAATTATATACTAGATAATAAAAACAATAATTAATTAAAAATATAATGTATATACATAGGAGGTAGATGTGTACACTCATATGAGAGGTTTTACGAAGCCTCCATATGCCTGTGGACAGTCACTGGTGCTATAATACTGTTTTTACCGCATGGTAATACAGTTACACTTAAATCCGAAGATTTTAATCTCGGTTTTATTTTTGCTGGCAATGGGCAACTTATGTCGGACTTTGTATCATCCGACAAAATCGTCGGATCATTTACAGAGAAGCCTGTAGCTTCAGAATCTTCATGGGGTGTCATAGTGGAGTAGCCATGGTCTGAACCGCCTGCTGTGTGCGCGCGTCTGTATCCTGTAACTATTCTGTAGGGCGATATTGGCGCTTCGATCTCCATAGCCGGGAGTAATTTATCTTGCCCGGACTGGTCATGCATGTCGTCAGATTGCATGTGGCTCATTTGAACATCAGCGTCATGCCAAGTCTCCGCTGGACCGTCGACATATAAATTATGGCAACTAGCAGTTGTCACATTTTGCCTATAACAATATATAGCAACTGCTATTACTAAGCTGACAGTAACTATACACCCTGCTATTGGCCCTATCGCTGAATAACCTAACAAGGCATCTCTATTTACTTGTCCAAAAGTACCTTCACCATACGGAGTGACGGCGCCAAGAACACCGTTGAAACAGGTCGATTGAGAAGTGCAAAATGGCGCAGAAAGCGGAGTTTGAGCATCTGTGTCAATCTGACACCACTCGCATCCGAGTACGCCCAAGCATGACGAATGAGTCACATAACTCTCGCACTGGAAGTCGAAACAAGATTTTAGGTTTTCTGCAAAGTTGTGAAAGTAATGGGACTTGTGATTGTTGTTTTCGGGCATCATGCCACACAATGGAATATTATCCTGGTACAATTTTGACGAATTCGAATTCGGACATTCGTACAACTCAGAACTACATTCACAAGGGCATTCGCAATCTGTCTGCTCCATTCGATTACAATTAAAGCAAAGTCGGTCAATCATGCTACATGGGCAGAAGGCACCTACACTGCATGAAACATTGACAAGACCAATAAACGCATTAGTACCAGGAATAGCAGCAATATAATAATGGACACAATGATCTCCTGAAACCACGTTGGAAAGTACATTAGGCAATGAGGTGTTGAATTCATAATACCTCTGTATGGTTTTATCATAAAAGTTATTGCACAATCTTTTTGTAACAAACCCTTTGTGATTCAAGATGTCATTTGCAATCATTGACTCCTTGTGAGTGATATGCTGGTGTTCAATCGGGCCAGAGCTGTTGGGATCCATGAGACCAGGATGTGAAACTAAGTAGCCCCGGTTATTCATGATAAAACATTTAAAATATGACATAGCACAAAGCGGGAGACTGTCAATTAGAAGTTTATAAAGGAAGCCCATAGTTACATCCATTGAGACTACCATTGTAGGATAAAAAGGTACTTTCACTGCATAGGATACGCTTACTACATACCCTGCTCCACCAACGTCCAAGTTAGGAGGAGTTAATATTATTTTCCCAGGGTTTTCCAATGCATATGTGTACCATGGCCTCCTAACTGGTTCATAGTCATACTCTAATACTGTCCCAGGGAACATAACAAGTACACCACTTTCGGTAACTGCATATCTTCTAACAACATATTTGGAGTAGAACCCATGTAAATGTTGTCTTTTATAAAAGGATAAGATGGAATTAAGAAAATTGACATCTTGCTGAATTTCATTTTTTAAGCCTGGATTAGACAGAAGACCATAAGCTAAGCTTTTTAAATAAGCTAAATAGTTTTGCATGTAAGTAACTGCCTCTGAGCCATCACCCATATCATAAAGGTATGTAAATGGGGACTGAAAACTGGAGGGGCTCAAATAAACAGTCCCCTGATCGATAGTAGCGATTTGTTTGAAATGTCGACATATTGTGCCTGTTTTTGGTGGAAACAGATCAAGTCTATGAAACAAAATTTCTTTACTTGTAAAAAATATGTTAGTTTTATTAAAAATATTCTGTTCCGCTGCCTCATTCACTATACATACAATATATAAATTTTCTACCCATTTCCAAGAATAAATCAAGGGTTTAGTGGAGTTTTGTTCAGTCATTGTCAAAACACCAGATTTATTAGATAACATCTCTTTCTTAAGACCATTTATAAAATCATATGTTTCAATAAATTCAAGATATGTAAACTTAATTTTTTCTGATGATGATTCTGGTCTAGGATAAAATGTATGCATGATAACTTTTCCTGAGAAATCCATTACAAAAGCTCTTTTGTTTTTATTTATACCTTTAAAATAAACTATATCTTCGGCAAGATCTGACCAGTAAAGGTCTAAACCTAGAACACCACTAGTCATGGGAAGCACTAATGATATCATAAAGTCCCTTTCTGTGGCTTCCCAAATTGGGTCTTCAACACGAATTGTACTATTTTCATAGCTTCCTGACAGCAATGAGATAAATGCTGAAGCGACTTGACCAACCACACCACTGTCATTTATATGAAGTCGCATTACTGAATGATTGTTTGAATGATTATGCCATTTATCTATATGTAAAATGCCAAGAGAACTATTTCTGTCAATCTCATTTTCATACATAAGTCCTATCGCAAACTTCATATGCTGATCCTGATCAGTGTATGGGAACAGTCTCAACCATGTGTCATTTTTCAGGATTTTTTTATCGGTTAAGAAAATGAACAATCTGTTTCTTGGCAAATCCTTTTCAGTCAGTAATTTCCTGAGCTCTTGATTGATAATCAAAGGTGAAATATTTTCAGATGCTACATCTATTGATGATAGATATTCTCTAAGAAGCAGTTTGTTGTTATCAGTTGTATTGCCCAGACTTGACATACCATCACCACTGCATGCATCTTTAAACTTGATAAAGTCTGTTGTATTTGTCATTTTTAATGCTATAACATCCTTGCTCTGTAGTGCATAAGCAGTTTCTTTTACTACACTTATAGAATGTTGCAAAGTGTCAACATTGACATTATTATCAATAATAAACACTACAAGTTTTGGGTCTGGGTGAATTATCTTATGATATAAATATCTTAAATTTGAATGAGGCATTGTTGCACAGTTTCTGTCTGTAGCATAATCAATATGTGACAGAAAGTACTGTCTCTTGACTTTCAAGTCTTTAAATCGGCCCATCATTTTAGACTTGGTCTCCAGTGATAGACTGCCATAAACATTGGAGCTTTTGAAAAATACCGATTTACGTATTGAGTTAAAAGGACATGGGTGAGTGAAGGACGGAGTATTATTACGTTTAGTTTCATTTATCATTTCACTTAGGATACTCTTAGCTGAAGATAATTTATATGTCAATTTATCAGCGATATTAGTAAGAGTATCACCGTCGGAAGTTTGATAACGATTGTCTTTATGAACAGTGCGTACTTCGAAGTGTATGCATGAAGATGTTGCAAATTCGCTGCCAAGCTCGTTGACCACTATTTCTTTAAACCTATTAGCCAGTGAATGTGATATTGTTTTAACACATACTTTATAGTCGCCATGGTTGTTAGTACTAGTGCAATTATCGGTATGCGCCGAGATCATAGGGACGCCGACACTGGATATAATCACAAATAACAGCGATAAAAGCTTCATCGTGTCGGCATTATCTTTGATCGGATTACACTTGATCACACTCTTTACCAAGTAGTATTTTTAAGAAATGCTTTAACTTTCCCATAGTCTATTTTAATTTAGCACTTCACTACAAATATTAAATCGTCATTAATATAACAAAAAATAACAAAAACAACAGAACAGCTTGTCTTCACCAACATACAATGATCTGACATTTCAAACAATATGGCGTACGGTTGTAACCATAAAGTAAATATAGGGATGCAAGGATGTATCGGAAAACCGATAAATAACGATAGACGACGCACCCAAAAATATATTTAAGAAGTGATATCAATATCGAATAATAAAAAATCCAAAAGGTATACACAACCTATAAATATACTACACAATAAATATAAACATATGTAAACTTGTATTACACTGACGACAGTTAGTTACTTTTTCAGATTCGGATGTATTTTATTGAAGATATGGTTTATACAACCAGTTTTATACAGAAAAGAAAAACAATCATATCATGTCTTAATCGGGAATATTCCAATCTCTTTAAAGTGATAATGAGTCATTTACCAGGACTTTCACCAGGAGACACAATAGTGGCTAGTTTACACGTATTATGTTGATAAGCGCCGCGACCCACGATCGTTGTCGTTAAGCAACTTTCGCAAGGGTCGGTCACGGGATGGGTGACCAAAAAATTATTATCTCGAGCTTCGGAAGGCACGTTAAGCCGTTGGTCCTGGCTGCATTTGCAGTCGTTAATACCCTCCAATCCGCATTGGGCCAGCGTGGAGGGTCGTGGCCCATCCTCCTTAACCATCCATAAGGAAGGCCTGAGCCCCTGCAGTGGGGACGTAAAAGGGTTGATGATGATGATGATGACCGATCCAAAAACAAAAAAGTTTCATAGAAACGTTTCACTCCTTTTAAATCTCTTCAAGGTAGACTTTCCAAAAATTCGTTCTTAGTACCTACGCTATAAGACGAATGTACCCTCCAAATGTCAAATTTCTATGATCGGCGTTTTAGGCTGTATGTCCTCCAATATATTTTTATCATCCTCTGAAACTAGGTCACAATTCTGTCTTTATCATAACTTGCGACAAATCCTTAAAATTATAAAAATAGCCTTTGCTGCTGCACCACTGCACTCCTACATTTATCTCACTTAATCAAGTAATTGTTTTCCGTTGCTTACTCACCCTACTTTCTTTAATTTGTTGTATGACCTCCAAAATTAAAATAAATAATGTATCACAAAAATAATGCGATATCAGCGCCTCTTACTGAGACTTACGTAACTATTTTACGATATGATAACTTACTCTTGACCACATCATGAAGAAGTCCGCCTATATCGTTAAACGCAAATCGTTCATTGATCATGATGGGGGCAACCAAATTATCTATTTCATGAAATAACTGGCCGCATCATGAATTTGTCATTTCTACGATCTAGCCACAACATATCTATATACTTGGAAACCAATACTAAGGTGCTTACATAATTGTGAAAATTAGCAAGTTGAAAATCTTAGGTTAAGACCAAGTAATACTAATCCTCAATAAATTAATTATTGATGAAACGAAAAACACAAATAATTGCAGTTTATTTATAATCTAAAAGTTAATCTAGGTAAATCTAGGGAAAAAAATCTGCGATTTAGAATTAATTTAACGCCATCTATACTCCATGTATTATAACATTAGAAAAAAGAGGGTCATAGAAGCAGCAGCGCAGAACATTTTATTTTAAAGATGAATTTAAAAAAATATATATTATGGTTTTGTTGAATTTTTGAACGTCTGTCTGAAAGAGCTGGGCAATTTTCCATTTTTTACGATACCTCGGAGTTGAGATGAGCCCAGCATTTTTTAAATTCATCTTTCACTCTCAAGTCAACATGGAACTAAAACTATCTATCTATTGTTTTGATAAATTCTAATTGTAAGTGCATTAATTAGAATAGAATTTAGTTATATCTATGCCCAGGAAAGAAAGGCAAACAAAATGAATTTGTTATTATAACATTTATTCAGACATTAGTTAGACTATAAATGAAGACATTAGATAAACTTCCTGAAATGTCAAAGGTTGAAGGTAGGTATGGGGGATTAAAGCTTAATTGTTGTAAGCCACTCGGGCCTGCACCGGCATCGTCAATATTTAACAAAAGTTAACCACATATACAATACTACAACAAAATAAAGATAAAACAATAATAACTTAATCACGGAAAACGGCAAAACAACTAGAAAGGCAGTAGCGTTCACAACGGATGACAATCCCAGATTACGTATTTTAACAATTATGAATACAATATAGTCTGACAAAATTAAAAAACTGTTCTGCCGAAAGGGATGAGGCAACGTTTTAAATTTGGTAGAGTTATAGTGACATGAGAATCGTGCCGAAACTATCCAACCCAGCTTCTTTGGGTTTTTTAAGATGCACACTTTTTATTGTAATAGTTATTAAATCATTTAAGTTCGTCAAATACTCATAAATTTGTTTAATAGATAGCTTAAATGATAACAGTTAAGTATAGCAGCTGGTATTTAAGTGGAAATGTAGCAAATTAGCCGTCAGTCTTAAGAGTAACATGATTATTGATATTTTATCACAAAGTATACCATAAAAAGAACCTTATTTAACTTCTGTCTAATGCTATAATGCATGGAGTATAGTGTAGTTCATTTATATATAATATAAAAATATTTTTTCTTTCGTTAACAAAATTACTTGAATTTGAACATTTTTATCCATTAAAATTTCAAAAATGTAATATTTACCCAAATACCAATACATCGCTATACAATAAAACATTTTGTAAATAATATTAGGTAAATTTATTAGTTGCTTTACCATAGCAACTCATAAATTTTGATTCTCCACTCCTTTTTTTACCCTTTAAGTGCTAGTTTTCGGGATAAAATATAACCTATTACCATCCTAGAGTCATAAACTACCCAAATACCAAATTTCCTCGACATAGGCCATTAACAAAGAAGTTTCATACAAACTCATTCACCCTTTTTGACCCCTTCGGGATGGAATTTTCAAAAATCCGTTCCTAGTACACCTCTACGTATCAATGAGAATGTTCCCTCCAAATTTCAAGTTTCTACGACCAGCGGTTTAGGCTACGCGTTGTCTGTCAGTCAGTAAGTCAGGACATCTCCTTTTATAAATGTATATAGATTATGTATTTTCTAATGAAAAAACTTAGAGAACCCTGCGAAAGTTTTAGTAATGTGCGAAGGAACTTTGTCTTAACATTCTGTACATAATAATGGGTTGCTGGGACAGGTATTACAAAAAGTTTTTACTTTTCTTTTTAGCGTCCGTGATCGGTTATATTATTTTTGTGGCATAGAGTGACGACAGTACATCTTACAACTTTAGAGGGTCCCGTTTTTGTATTAAACTCGTGTTGTACTCAGAGGATTAGACTTGTATTACTTGTTAACATATTTATTTTAAATTAAAATAATGTCGGCTTAGAGTATATACCTCCAAAAAGCATCGTCATTGTTGTTTTTTCCATCAGAAAATACATGAAAGGTCTATTGGCATAAAAAGAAAATGGAATCATTTTGTTAACAACATCTACCTCTGTAAACGCACTCGCAACTGTTCCCACCTCCGTTACCTCGATGTCAGCCTTGTGCACGATTTTCGATATGAATATATCCTCATTAGTTATTCTATCGAACCGTGCTCTATCATCAAATATATCAAACAGACCCATATCATTCAAAGGTTTGTTCAAAACAACATTCGTTGTGATGTGGAACCTTGGTATCTTCACGTCTATTACCTCGTCTACGAAATGTTCCTTGCCTTCTTCGAGTTGTTTGAAAATGTCTTTTAAGGTGACATTAGCGAAGTTCTGGTAAGCTTCATTAATTTTTACCCCCAAATAAGGCAGTAGGAATAGCATAGTATATTTTTTATCGTTACCATAAGGAAGTTGTAAAGCGAAACATTTCATTCTCTTAATGTTTGAATATTCAAGAGGTGTTTCTTGAGACATCATGTTCACACGGCCGATAGGTTTATTTGCTTCGTCGTAAAACACTTCTTCTTTCGTATTCGATTTATTGAATGGCATTGTCCAGGAACCTCTGAACGAAATTACATTAGCGAGTATCATTCTTAACTCGGTGAAGTCGTTGGGACGTAGTACGTTATTGATATAACCAGTAATTCTTTGGATTTTACTGTTGGCTATTTCAGCTGAGTTTGGATTATGAAAGTCTAGAACATCGATGGTAGCCTTTAAATCTCTCTGGAGTGTACTGTTAAATTCAGGAAATATTGTGAAGCTATCGTGTAGAAATACAAAGTTTGTGTTTGATAAGGTTACTCCTTGGGATGTCGAGTTCAAGACAGTCGAGGTCAGGTCCCTGTATCCTTTGACGAGTGCATTCCTGTCTCTGGGCAGACGAAATGTATCTACCAACTGTTTGTAGCTGTTTCCTGTTGCTCCCAGAGCGACACCTGTCATAAGAGTCCATATTCCGAAAGGCGAAATGACCACATGTCCATCTGTTTGCAACTGCGTATGATGCAGTAACTCTATGCTAAAGTTCTGGGGTCGATCACTGAATTCAACAGCACAATAACACGATGCGATGAAGCAAAATAATAACAAAATTAATTGCATTGTGTCGTCGACCGAGTCCCGTAATGTACTAAGAATTTTTTACGCAAAACTAACTAATTTATAAGCGAAGCTGTGCTCTGATATATCTTAGTTATTATTCGTGTGCAAATAAAGGTTAATTTAATATCTGTAATATCGGTAGTGTGTACAACATAATGAGTAAGCTACTCATACCAAATTTGCTGGAATCGATATGACACTAGCGAACTATTTATTTATAATTGAATAGTAAAATTGTCTCATAGTGTACTATTTCGCACATAGTCAAAATATTTTAATGCGAAAGTGGTGCTTAGCACTCTTGATTACAAGACCCATCTGATACTAATTCGCCCAGTAAAATACCAGTCTAGATAGAGTTGAAGATGTTATTTAGGTAAAAGTAGGTGTAGGCATATGGTTATCAATCTGAATTTGCTGACCTTTTAAACGATGACTTTAGCGATAATTTTAAACCACATGTTTACACGTGATTATTATCATCGCCCCGAATAAGAAACTTTAACTGTATTTATAGAACTCAGTTTCAAAATATCAAATTTATTTTTTGTAACATCAGTGAATAAAGTTGTTTTTATTCAGCATTACAAATCGAGAATTATTGAGA